GTTACACATATTTAGCCTAAGTTTTACCTGTGTTATTCGCATTTAACAGTGTGACTACATCATCTTTATATCATGAATTCAGGAAAAGTTGTAGGATAGTAAGCATTAAGAGGGATGCTGCTAGTAAGATCAGAAATAACAGTGCACTGCTCTGTTATAAATTACTAAGATTTTTCCTCTTTTCAGTGGCCATTAGAAAACATGATACTAACACTACTGTAAAGGCATTTATAAAAGATCATCTGATGATTAAAGGTATATATTTGAAAATTGTATCTTCTATTGCTAAATATCATATTTGTCAAAATGTAGAGTTATTCTGTTGCTGCCGGGGTGGTTATTTAGTAGCAGTTACATTAAATTGTGTTTATATTGTTTAGTATAGATGATTCCAATTTACAGGGCTGCATACATGGTCATTTTAAGGTGTCTATTTTGCTCAGCTGATGAGCTGATGAGCTTTGCATATCTTTTATTTGCAAAATCTTACTTCTCAAAAGTTCTGCTAATGTAACGTTTTTCTAAATCAAGGGATTTTGGTGTCTGATAAACTGTAGTTAAGGCTTAAGCTGACAATCAACAAGACTTAAAAAGATCTAAGCAGCTTCAGTTCAGTAATGGTGTTGCATATATCTAAGGTATTAATTACCGAACTTTGAAAATAAAATGCATCTAACAGCTAAATAAGGTCATTGCCATTAATTCTGTGAATCACAGAATCACAGAATCGTTTAGGTTGGATGGGACCTCTGGAGATCATCTAGTCCAACCTCCGTGTTCAAGCAGGGTCACCTAGAGCATATTGCCCAGGATCACATCCAGACGGCTTTTGAATATCTCCAGGGAAGGAGACTGCACCACCTCTCTGGGCAACCTGTTCCAATGCTCTGTCACCCTCACAGTGAAGAAGTTTTTTCTCAGGTTCAGATGGAACTTCCTGTGGTTCAGGAAGTTCAGGAATGCAGATCCTGTGTCTACTAAAGCGGTCTCCAAGCACTTACATTATTTTAATGTAGTTTGGCAAACTTATAGCAGGTTGCATATGCCTAAAACTCAATGTAAGAGAAATAAATAACAATTCTTTAAAAACTACCATAATAAGGCACAACAGTGGTTTCCAATACGTTCTTTAAAACAAGCAAAACAGAAACCTTACAGCGTCTTATATTATTAAGAATTTCTAGGTATGTCTATGAAAGAGGATGAAAAACAGAGTTCTCAACTTTATGTTCTTTGCCGTGATTTATTTACTGAAATGGGTCTTAAAATCTATTGTTTATTCGATAAAATAATCAAAAGAATTATGATAAAACTTTTTATTAGAGACAGCAAAGGTTAAATAGTTGTTGAGGTGATTCAGTTTCCTCTCGTTTTCAAAGTGGCAGGGACCCTAAAGCTTTGAAGTTCTCTAGGTCATAGGCAGTTGTCCAAACATTTTGATCCTATGCTCTGTTCTGTTTCATAACAATTTTTTTTTTTAATATTTTTCACTCCTAGTAGGCATAAAAATAAGCTTTCATAGTTTGGTACTGCTGTACTAAATGCACTACTGTACCTTCAGAGAGGGCTACTGTGTAAGGTCTTAGGTTGTCTGGCATATACATCTTTAGTATTTTAACTTATACTGTAATACAAACACAAAAAGTGAAAATGATTGATAATAACTGAAAAATAGAGTTGATCAGAAATGTTGAGATTCAAATTTCTGTAAGTGCCTATTTGGAGTCAAAATGCAACGGAACAGAATGAAATATTCTGATATGATCAGTATATCCTATCTGGGACTTTTTGGAAAGAAACATTTAAAGTGTTCCATTTTTAAAACAACATTAGAATATAATATGGTTGCAAAGGTCCACCAGAGGGTGAAGTTTTGATCAGTATGGACAATTTTATTGTTGCTATTGTTTTCAACAGTTTATTTTCTGGGAAATTTTGAAAAGTGGTCTCTCATTAGTTTTTGTTATACATGGGGATGAAAGAACATGGAAAATGCAAAATTTCTTACAGAATAGAAACCTGATCCTCATTTAGCTCTTATATCGAGTATGTGCTTAAACATCCTTTAAGTACGTTTTTTAGGGAACACTATGATAATTTCTTAAAAGTTTTATCCTGCCAAGTATCTCAACCCAATCTGTGATTCATTGTATCAAAGAATAATTTAGGTTGGAAGAGGCTTCTGGAGGTATTCTAGTCTAACCTTATGCTCAGAGCAGGCTAACTTCAAAGTCTGAGTGAGTTGTTCAGAGCCTTATCTAGGCCAGTTTTGAGCATCTCCAAGGTGGCGATTCCAAAGTCTTCCTGGGCAACCCGTTCCAGAGGTTTTATCATGACTTTTAAGGGAGATGTGCTCAGTTAGAGCAGGGACTTGCTAACATCCTCCTCCTTGTACACTAATCGCAGCAGGTATTCCACTCATATCTTTACATCCTCCTAATGACGTCTTTTTTTTTTAACCTCAAGTTATTTTTAACTTTCATGACATTTACAGCATACCTTCAGATTACACCTACCCTTGCCTCCCAAACCATACTGCCACCTTGACAGCCTCTCTAACCCTGAATCCAACTGCTGTTCAAGCACCCTCAGTGCTCTTTCTCATATGCAGCTTTTTACATTCAAAAAGAATTCTCCATTCTTAGGAGACTATTCTTAGGTAACTATTCTACCTTTCTTGTTAATACCCCTTTTTGTCATTCCCCTTTTGAAGCATTAATATTGGCACAACTAATAATGCTGAGACCTTTGCTCACTTTACTGAATATGACTACTTTAAAAATTCATATACCCCAAGTAATCTACCATATTTCTTTAATATATCCACTTGAACTATCACACATAAAAATCATTAGTTCTCAAGAGCAGAAATTATCTTTTTAATTTTGCATGTAAAAGTGTCTATATACAAATAAAAGCATGATCTCTGGACCTTTAGACAGTAATAACAGCAACAATAAGAAAATACAGTAATTCTACTTTATGCTTCCACCTCTGGCAAACAGTAGCACAAAATAGTTGGAAAAATTTAGCCACTTACCTCACCAGTTTGCTTGAAACTCAGATTGCCAGTGGAGTTGTGAAGAAGGAAATAAGGAGCAATTCTTACTAGCCTAAGAGGTTTAGTAATGACTTTAGATAGTCATCCCTGCTTCCAGCATGAGAGCAGCTGGACATGAACAACCAGATAAGGCAAAGTAAATAGCTGAATTCTGGTTTTGTGTCTTGACTGGAAAATGGGAACAAAATTGTAATCATTGAATTTGATTAACTTTTTCCCCATTTTTTTTCCAAAATGAAAATCCGAAAGATTTCATTTGTTGGTGTTAAACATTCCCCTTTACATGGAATGGAAGACTCAGAAGACAGTACTTCTGAATACTTCAGAAGACTCATAGATATAGCAATGGATATTATTACAGGAGATTTTAGATTCTTATATCAAAACATCCAATTGGCTATTGTTCTACTCCCACCAGACTATTTGGAAGAACTAAACAGATGTAACTGCACAGAAACCTCAGATGAACATGCAACAATTCATCACACTAGCCAGCATAAGAAAGATGCACACATGTACACTCTCCTATGCCTGAAAATTCGTAAGAACTGTCACTTTGACTTTGCTATCTTTTTAAATTTAGTGATATCTACAAGAAGAAATGGCTTCAAGGCTGCAACCCTACCCTAATTCTTTTTCTCTAAAAGTAATACCTTTATATCTACTGCCTTCAATGGTATAGCTAATTTCATTTTGTATTGGATAGGAAAGCAAAAGTTTGTTTTCTTCTGATTTTCTTGTTTCAAAATGAAGCAATTGAAAATGCCATTGAAGAGGCAAAAGAGAAGCTCTCCTCCCTATGTAGTAAAATCCTGGACATAAAGTGCTTTCTCCTCCCCATTCTCCATTACCCTTACACACTTCATACAACTTCTTAGCTTCTTTCCTGACTGAGAACATCAGCAGATGTGGTTTGAGCAAACATCCCCATTTGTGAACTCATTAAATTCTTTTGAAGACGCTACATGAAGCATCTTGACACACTGTGCAAGTTACAAAATGGGATATAAAGTTTTGCTATCATTTTCAATGTCTTCTTCCAAGATTCAAACTCTAAAAATTGGTTTGTCTGTACGTTTGAACTCGTTTACCCACTATCCACAGTGTCATACTGCACTTCACTTATATAATGCCAAACTAGAACCTACCACTTTCGGAAAAGGCAGGTTGATAATATTTTCCTTTTCATGAAAAATGATTTTGTCAGAAATAGTGCTACTTTCAATACAAAAAAATGGATATAAAGTCCTTTGCACTGTATACATGATGGTTGTAGAATCAAACCATAAGTTTTGCAAACAGTTTATTTTACTAAAATGAATTGTTTTGTACTGGAATGTGATGGCCTACTAATCTACCTGTCACTGATGTTGTAAAACCACTGCCATAGGTCATTCCTAAGTACATGCAGTGCTCCATGTCTAATGGCATTAGGCAGTTGAAATCACTTCTAAGAGGAAAAGAATTGATAACAATGCATGCTTACCACTTGTTTCTTATATTATTTGGTGTGAAAGGAAGAATTTGTATATCTCTAGAATTATGTACCAAACATTGCTATAAATTAGTAACACTAGGAACAGTTTATACTCACCATCTTTGATAAGAAGAGAGTTTGATGATAAATAAAAGAATTCAAAAATTGGGTATTGCTAAGGAAAACCAGATCCAACAGACTAAATCTAGCATTGAAAGAGATAACATTGGAAGAAGAAAAGATAAAATATGTCAAAAACAAATGTTTAAAGGTTTGTAGCCATATAAGACATTTACTATGCCTATTCTGTAAAATTTTTAAAAATTGAACCTGACAGCTTATTTATTTATTTATTTATTTATTTTCAAGATTAGGAACTACAAAGGTCAATGTAAGAAGACTCTGTTATGCTTCTCCTTCTCTGTAAATATGCTACTTTTTTTTCCTACTAGGATATGAGAAGACAACATCTGGTTTTGGTAGGAGTAGATGCAAGGTGTCCCTTGAACTTGTGAGTGCATGGCTATCACTATGGCTGTTGCTATTGCTACTGTTGCTGATAGTGAGATGATTACAAAACATGTGATGGAAGAGTAAAGATCATGCCCCTTCTCCCGTTCTGAAAAAATAACATTGCAAAGGAAAACACATTTCATACTATTTCCACAAAATTTCAAATCTGCACAGCTCCATAAACTCACCCAAAGGAATGAATCCATAAAAAGAAACTATGCTTCTGGAGGCATCTAAATAAAGCTATCAAAATATCCCAAACTGAAAAGCCATTTACAGAGTCTAAACTGGGAATACCTGAAAAAGTTGTAAATGTTAAGAGACTTGATTATCCAGTTCTGAAGAAGACCCTTTAAATTGACATAAACCAAGCATACAAAGAATTACACAATCTCAAGTATTTTCACTAGAATTTCTCTACAGCTTTATTTGAAACACTACTGAGGCTCTGAAGTGCCACAGCCTAATGTATCTTAGAGAGTATAATTAATATTTTAAATGAGACAAGGTATATTTTTTTATTTTTCTTTACTCTGAAAATGCCTGCTTGCAATGTGCAGTCATATGCTAAATGTATCACATTCACACTTCATCCCAACCATGCCTCTTTTCAAAGCTTAGTGGATGGCAGAGACCATGGAGACACTCTGGACAAATTCTGCTAGAATATTTCCTATTTCATGTGCTATGTTTCTTGACTGGTAACGTAAAATAGCAGTGCAGGATCATCATTAGCCAGCTCCTGTGATGTTTACAGAATCACAGAATGGCCAAGGTTGGAAGGGACCTCTGGAGATCATCTAGTTCAACCCTCCTGATCAAGTAGGGTCATCTAGAACACATCGCGCAGGTTCACGTCCAGGCAGGTTTTCAATATCTCCAGCGAAGGACACTCCACTACCTCTCTGGGCGACCTGGTCCACTGCTCAGTCACCCTCACAGCAGAGTTTTTCCTCATGTTCAGAGGGTACTTCCTGTGTTTCAGTTTGTGCCCGTTGCCACTTGTCCTGTCCCTGGGCATCACGGAGAAGAGTCTGACCCTATCCTCTGGACACCCTCCTTTCACATACTTGTACACATTGGTGAGATCCTCCTCTCAGTCTTCTCTTCTCCAGGCTGAACAGGCCCAGCCACCTCAGCCTTTCTTCATACAAGAGATGCTCCAGTCCCCTCAGCATCTTTGTAGCCCTCCGCTGGACTCTCTCCAGTAGTGACATGTCTCTCTCATACTGGGGAGTCCAGAACTGGACACAGCACTCCAGGTGAGGCCTCACGAGGGCTGAGGAGAGAGGGAGGATCACCTCCCTTGACCTACTGGCAACACTCTTCCTCATGCACCCCAGGATACCCTTGGCCCTCCTGGCCGCAGGGACACAGTGCTGGCCCATGGTCCACTTGTTGTCCACCAGGACTCCCAGGGCCTTCTCTGCAGAGTTGCTTTCCAGCAGGTCAACCCCCAGCCTGTAACCTCCATCTTGTAACTCCTAACCATGTTAGGAGTTAGAATATGAATGGAGGTAGAGAGGCATTTTTACCATATCTAGATTTAGAGGGAAATTTTCTCTTTGCTCTGAAAAAAGACTACAGTAAGACAGCATTGCATATGTTTCACAGGGCATTTATACAAAACAAATTTGCTTCCTAATGACTCTTTCTGCTGTGAAGATCTTACAGTAGAGTTACCATACCAGATTTCCTGATCTGAACAAAGCTCTTTTATTCAGCAGCCCAAATCAGCTCTCCCTCCCAGCCAGCTGAATGATGAAGAATTGTTACTTATAGAAATGTAAAGGAGAAGTACGAGCAGAATGTTGTATGATTTGTTGATTCTGGCTTCTACCCGCTTCTTGCAGCTGCTGTGGTTTAAAGACTTAGATACTTCCTAGATCTGGGCTTCAGATTAAAATTTTCTCTCATGTAATTTAACAAGAAAGAAAGAGAGAAAGAGAGAGAGAGAAGGAAAGAAAGAAAGAAAGAAAGAAAGAAAAAGAAAGAAAGAAAGAAACTGGCAGTGATGTCTACCTGCAGGGATGAATGCACTAGGATAATTTCCAAAAAACAACAAAGTAAGGTTAAAAGAATTAGTTCCAAGAATCGCAGACTAATATAATTTTTCAATACATAGTATAAAATACTAACTAGGTTGCTGCAATTGCATATTGATTAGACAAAGAAGAAATTAATAAAGATGATGAGATGTTCCTGGCTCTCAGACAAATTGGTAATTTAAGGAGGGTTTATACCATTATTTGAGAAACAAAGGCCTTAGTTTTCAGAAATTTTCAGTATTGATTGAATCTTCTTCAGTTAAGATCAATTAACTATTTAACACCATTGTAAAAGGAAGCAGAGAGAGAAGAATTAAACTGAGCTGAGCATTTTTGGAAAATTTTATCTATCAACAGTGTTGCTCCTGTTACGAAAAACTGAGACAGTTTCTCATACAGTCGTTGAAACATCACATCATTACAGTGAGCTTGAATCTCTTGATCCTACATCTTCAAGACTAATCAGTAGCTTTCTGTCAGCTGATTTCTCTCTAAATCTAGACATAATAAGAATGTCTGGGATTACTGTCTACCTCCTTTCATATTCTTACTCCTGACATCACAGGAGCTGGCTAATGATGATCCTGCACTGCTATTTTACGTTACCAGTCAAGAAACATAGCACATGAAATAGGAAATATTCTAGCAGAATTTGTCCAGAGTGTCTCCATGGTCTCTGCCATCCACTAAGCTTTGAAAAGAGGCATGGTTGGGATGAAGTGTGAATGTGATACATTTAGCATATGACTGCACATTGCAAGCAGGCAGGTGATATTCTCTAGTTCCTTGGATTATGTAAACAGGTACTGATCTCTACAGGTACCAAATAGGTCTAATAATAAAACAAACAAAAAAGTTTTATTTAGCAAGACCTTTACTATGGCACGCATCTCAAATCAATTTTGATGCGTGCAGTAAGTATCTATTATTACAGTAGGCTCTGCTTATTCTCCACAAAAAAACAGGCATTTCTAGAGAACAATTCCTCTGACTTGCTTTAGACTTTTCCAATAGGATTAGCTAAATTGTTCCTCACTTGTGTTTGTCTCACTCTATTGATTATAAGGGGATGGTAGAAATATTAGCTCTTGTGTAGGCACCTGCATGGTAGATATCTAAAGGTGGATTAAATTAGTCCCACTGTTAGTTACAAGTTAGATCAAGAAAGTTTATATATGAAGCAAACATAAAATGATTTCAGTTAAAATTTAGCTACCAGATGCTGCTGTCTTTGCTCTACATACTTTTCCTGAGTTGTATGGTCAGTTTTAGATCTAGAGATTCAGGGTTCAGAGCAACTTTCCATTTTCCAAGTATTTTCTTGAATTCTGAATGCCCTCCACCTGCCTCTACCCCTACTTATATTCTTGTAGAAAAAAAGAAGCAAAAATAATTTACTTCTGTCTGGAGCTAAGTGTTGAGTGCTTAAAGGGCTTGTACCTTTCATCAGCATATGGTGCTAAACATTCCCACTGATAAACATGCAGGGAATTTTCCTCAGCCTTCTATACTGTCATCCAGGAAGGTATCTGCATTGCATAACTGCATGATTTTTTTTCCCCCTGCAACTCTTTTCCCTTTATTTATGGTTTCTCATCTGGCTAAATGCCTCTGTCTAGTCTGGGCCTTTCACTTACTATTAAAAGTCACCTATGGGGTTACAGATACATTTATGTATGAATTATTATATCAATATTTACATTTGTATGGAGTTACTGTATTTCTATAGAGACATGAGGCAATTTCAAAAAAAGTCACACCTTTGGAAAAGAAACACTTCTTGAACATGAGGGCAAATTCTCTTCAACTCCTCCCCCAATATGTTTTATTGAAAAACTAGTGTAAAAAGTTTAAATTTCTATTTTGAGATGTGTAAAGGTAAGATGGAGGCACCGTCTGGTCTCCTGGCAGGGACTGATACGCAAACACACAGCACAATAGGGTCGATACTGAGTGTTTATTACCTCTGTGTCTGAGCGGGAGTTCCCCAGCGATTTCCCGATCGAGGCAATAATGGAGCGGGAGAGTCCCTGGCACTGCTGAGTGTTGATCCAGGGTGAGGAATGCCTGAGCTCATCACTGCTTCCGATTCAAAGCCCAGGTGCAGTGCCACACTGGCATGGGCTCAGCCACGTGACTATGGGTCAACATGCCCTGTTGATGCTCCTTTTCCCACGGAACAGTCTGGTTAGCTTCCGTCGCCGATCTCCTTGACATTCCTCTGCATTTTCCCATACTACATGACGTAAAGGCCTAGAGCAAACAGATCGAATGGGAGTTGCTCCCTGTTTAAGTTTTGTCCATTTATACTTTATGAAAGAAAGTTTATATTGTTACTTAAAAGCACACAGAATTTATAATCTGTATGATAACTTAGCACTAAAAATCACTGCTTCTTCAGCTGCAAAAAGAAATTGTATTCCTCATGTTCCTACAGATGGCAATCTGGCATTCAGGTCACTGTTCCTGTGCACTGAGTTCCTGACTCATCGAAGAGCTGTAGTCTACAGCAACTATTAAGCAGGTTAGTCTTCACCATTAACAGAAGAATGGTGCAAAGGGAAATATGTAACAGCAAGTTCAACTGGATATCATTCTTAGATAAAACTTGTATATATAGTCTAGTCTAATGCATTCCACCTTATCTATAGAAAACGGTCTCCACTTAGTTCTTGATATCCATAGGACTATTTTGTAAACCTTAAAAGTATTTTGTTATTAACTGTTCTTGTGGGAATTGCATTGTCCTTGCAACGCAGTGAATTACATGTAGCATATCAGAGTTTCACCTAGATTGAGTTCCAGCACCAGTGTAGGAAGCTACATGAGTAGGATATAAAATACAAAGTGGAAGCACGGGAGTGAATCTTGATGAACTGTGAGAAAGACTCAAATCAAAAAAATGAATGACAGCAAAAGCATTACTTCATAGGTCTTGGCATAGATCTGCATATGGAAAAAAATGTACAGTCACTCGTTCTTTTTGTTGATCTGCACAGAGATTTGTAGCACATACAGGTCATAGAAAATTTGAAGGCTCAGGAGACAGAGAAGCAACATGGAAAAATGGAACTGTAGTTAGAAAGAATTATGTTGTTTGCTGCAAGCTAAGTACAGAGATAGGAAGGACCCAAGCAGAGGAAGCAATTATTACTCACTGCATCCATTTCTTTTATTCACCATAGCTATAGGATTTTCATGACATTTTTAGTGATTAGGTCCCAAAGACTCATTGCTGAAAGTTGATGAATAGCTATAATATAATCCAAAGGCCCAAATAATTAATCAGAACATAGCTTTGAAGTGTCAATCATGTCCTAAAGTGGATTACTGCAGCACAATTATGATTCATTAATTTTAAATTTTAAAAAGTATATAGGAATAGTTTTATAGGGTTTGTGCAATACCTCCTTCTGCTATGGAAGATAGGACCAATTAAAAGGATAAGGCAAAAGTTGAAAATTGAATTTTTCTTCTATTTTGAATAAATTGTTCTTTTTCCTAATTCTTCTTTTGTGTCTTTTGGTTCAATCCTCTCATGTTCTGAGATTTCACATAAACTTGTATGTTCAATGAGAGATAAGAATGCTGCTCAGCTGCTCTCAGAATTCTCAACACATTGCAAATTGGGCTCTTTTTGACTTTCCTCAGGACTTACTGGCTTCTTTCTTTCTTTCTCTCTTTCCATCTGTGAAGCTTAATGTCCTTGAAGCGGGGACTAGTTTGGGATTAAATATTGCTTTTTTCTACTTAGTTTAATTTGCAAAAAAGAAATTGGAACCGTGAACAGTACCTCATTTGAAAAGTGGGTTTAATGTCCAAAAAATCGACGAAGTATTCCAGAAATGCTAACTTCATTCTTTACTGGGAAGAGATACTTTCACGGTATATCTTTCACTCCTTTTTCTATCTCTATTCTCCCAAATACTGGTCTATCTCTACAGCTCTTTATCCTCTTAAAAGACAAAAATCTAAAAGGCCCTTTCTTCTGTTGACACAGATGGACAGTCCAACAGCAGCAAGGTGAAACTAGCTGAGATTCGCTGCAGTACTTTGTAAGTGGAGCTGCCTGTTAAGAGCTGGTGTTCTCTCAAAAGGTGAGAGAAGGTATAAAAAAAAGCTGAAACCTTATCTTGTCAGAAGAGGAAAAGCAAGAGAAGCAAATGAGGAAAAGGCAGACTTTTCTGATGTAGTCATCATGTAAATAATTAGCAATATTTGCTTTCCTCACCTATTTCTTCTGTAAACTTGTTTAGATAGAGCATATATTTTTGGAGTTATGAATAAAGGCTTGAGTTTGTATTTGAGTTTTGTCTAATCTGATTTGACTTGCATGTGATTTCAGATGACTGGATAACTCCAAGGCATTCTTTATCCAAGATATTTAACTACACCTATACAACCTGGGGCTCTGGGAAACTCAGCAAGTGTCTCAGCTCCACAGCACACCCTCAGGAGTATCCAACATCTAACTGAGTGGCTCGCTGTTGAACCACACAGGTTAGGAAGGGGATAAGCAAGGAAGGGATTTGGGATGCAAAGTTATCTGCCTCAGGCCTTTTGGTGACACTGAAGGCTGTTTGTCATGCTGTTTAGATACATGAAGCCTAGGGGTAACAGGGACTGTATTACAACATTTATTATCCTTTACCCATTTATTTGTTGACTGAGACCTCCTTTGCTCACTGACTCATTCTTTATTCCCTAAATAACCATTTTAGAGCCACTATTCAGAAAGGGTCTGATTCAAAGTCTAAAGAAATCTATTAAAACAGGACAACTACTGTCTTGAATGGACTTAAGAATACACTTGAAAAAGGATAAAATTAATTGCATATGAGAATGACATGCCTGGATTCCAAATATCTGAAACAGATATATGGATACCGTCTTTCAAAACCTGAAGGGATCAAATTTTGAAGTTGTGTTCTAAGATTAGAAAATAACAGAAAGCAATTTGATTTTAGCTGTGTAAAAGGATATTCATTCCCTAGGAAATTTTTATCATAGACTGTGCATTTCACATCCTTCTCTTTCTCTGATGCTTTGACTTCAGTACTACTGACGAACAATTGTCTTCATTAAACTGTTGCAAAGATAACACTATTCACATTGTTTAAATAAAAATCCAGTTAAATATTATAAAGTTATTGATTTAGCCTACAGCCATTGTTGTTCATGACTTTCGTGGATAAGCTCCAGCTTTTTTATATCTCACACACATAGACGCAGTTGAAATAGCTAGTCTGGATACAACATTTTTATCTTGATAAGTTAAGTGCAATTAACTTGCACATTAGTATGTTATGTCAAATTTTATCTTATTCAGTATTCTATTTTAACAAGTTTTTTTTTTTTTCAAATAAGTAGCATTTGAGTTAACTACTGTAACTCTTTTTTAATAAAACTTCATTTCAATGTAAACAGTTTATAAGACATTAGCCTTGAACGTAGGAGTGTTTTCTTTACAGTATAGAGAAAAATGTCACCACCTTCTCTAGACTGTATATCTCTCCTCGTGGCATGGCATATATTTATATACTACATGTTTATTCTGGCAAATAAAAACAGAATACAGAATTTATTTGTGACTTACAAAATAATCTACTAATCTAATCAGTTCCATGCAAGCAGAAAAATATTGATTCACTTTAAATGATAATGTTCAGCTCAAAACATCTTTTAGTGGACTATCCGGCTTGTTTAAATGAAAATAAATTGACTGGCACACTGCTTATATTGCAACAAAGAAGGAAAACAACAACAAAAATTCTCAACTATAATGTATGGGAATTTTTTTCTAAAATCATATGAAATGAATAACTACATTAATATTTAAGCACATGAGTAAGAAAATGGGTTACCAGTCATTCAAAGATAAATAGCTTAGGGAACCTTGCCTACTGTGAGACTGCAAAACTAAATAACACTCCTAGTCACAGAGCTTGAAGCATGTGCTCTTGCTTGGTTTATTCTTCACAGTTATGTATGAGAGCGGCCACACTCGCTGCCTGAGGATTAGAGTCGAATCATGGCAGAGGGCCTGGAATGGAAGTTATTTGGTTTTTTAAATAATGAGCACATTGTAGTGTACTTTTGATAGAAGAAAAATAATAGTGTCATATCCTGCTATGCAAAGCAGTAACTTTCACTATAAGCTGTACTAATTTTGAGAGAGCTATGCGGTTGGCAGACACAGGGTAACAAGAGATTTATGAGAGCAAAGATATTGGTATGTGTGATCAAATCCTTTCCAGCCTCAGCCTCATGTGTAAAACCTCCTGTTAGCTCATCATTCATGCAAAGTGGAATACCAAAGAAACCAAAGAATTAGAGGACTGCAATAGCCAAAAAGTCTTTTACCAAAGCAAAAACCTTCAAATGTTATTGTCTGAACTTACTTAGGCACTCATTTTTTATTTCAAATAATTGTTGCATTGTGAAATAGTGTTCTAAGGAGCATGAATGGAATAATAACTGCAAAGCACATGTGCTGAATTAATTTCACAGAGCTAGAAATGCTGCAGATTAAGAATAGCAAGCTAGTTCATTTAACTCTTGCTGTATTTTCTGAACACTGTTCCTGAGGGCCCTGATACATGGCCAATTATCTGTTGCCCTTGCCTTGTATGATAAAGAATCCAGTAATAAGTCAACATGAAAAATGACATTGAAGTATTCAGCAGCACAAGAAAACACCGCTAACAGAGAAAAATGAACATCAGTGGATACACTAGTGATTAAAACTGCAGCTGAATCAGCTACCTTCAAATTAAAATCTCCTGGAGAGAGCACATTTGTGCCAGTTAAGATACCAGCCAAGGCTCTGTAGAAAAATAAAAAAGTACAGACTCTTAGCTAGCAAAGTTCAGGCAGAATAAGAGAAGTGCTTTATACAGCAGTGAAGCTTGCAGTTTTACATTGCATTCCCATGATAGAGTCACTGATGGTGCACACTGATAAAAGCTGTACCACTTATATCACTGACCACCGGTATGACCAATATGATCACGCAAATTCCTCTTTTAAAACTCCTGTAACGCCAGTGGTCAAGTTTTATTTAACCTTTGGGATTAGATAATGCATAGTTAACTAATGCTATATTAGTGCCACTCAAAGTTGGTGAGCTCCCTGTGCAACTAGAAGAAAAAAAACATTGCTAAACACTGTCTGCTATCTTTATGTTTATATATACCCAAACAGTAGTGATATTAGTGACTGATAACGTATCAATTTTTCAGTAATACAAGCTGGCAACAATAAATCAGCTACCTCTCCTAGAAGCATCATAGTGGGTTCAATTAAGATATAGCAAGTTGGCTCTCCTGATATCGCAACCGTTAGCAAGCTCAATATGTCAGCGAGTGGTACCTGCTACTACTCATGCTACGTGTCAGCACAGCATAATTAGCACTGAATAGCCTGAGGTATCGCTAAACATTACTTATTACGCAGCAGTGAACTTATTTCCAGCCTACACCAATTCTGGAGGAAGGCAGCATGACAAGAACAGTGTATTGATCAATAATGTTAAACTAGAAAGGGATTTTTATGTAGGATTACGTCTTTTTTTTTTCTTTTTTTTTCCTAGAAAAGCTTTGGTAAATGAGGACAAGGCTTTATGAACGGCAGCCATCAGCATTGCCTATCAAGTTTCAAGACAGCTGTGGACCAATGCAAGGACGTGACTTCCCACTATTGTATCTGAAAAAAGCTACATGCACTGCAGGGTCACATAAGTGGGAGGTACTAAAGATGTATTGAAAAGGAAGTCTCAGGAAGTTAACAAAACTATTGGCTTTTGTCACAACAGAAGATTTGTGCTGAATAGGCTTCAGTAGTTCAGCAGACATTACATGAAAGTGATTTTCCCTGCTTGCTGTGCAAGAGACATGACATAGCCACTTTTTCCATTGTTATTGCATGTTATTTGGCTTGACAGATTACTCATGTTATTCTAAACAATTGGAATATATTTCATCTATAGTACTGTGCTTCACTTAAAAATGACACTTTAAATGGAATTCATTAAATCCAGCCGTGAACTTCTACACTCAGACATGCATATTAATCTAAGATAATCCCTTTAAAGTTCATTCACAGGATACAGGAAGGTGCCACTACTGTCTGAAAATAGGTTAGGGGTTTTTGTCCTCACAATGTCTGTTTCTTTTCATTAACCAAAGTGTGACAAAGATGACTTGTTATCTTAAAGACAGAAATCAAATATCAGTAAGATCTCAGTCCTAGTTTAGGACACTGTGGCTTGCTTTTGCAAGCATTTGTTGAGTAGATTCTTAAAAGCTAAAGCTTAAAATCTGAGCACTGTCAAAATTGAAAGTGATTCCCCTTCTGATGAATTCACCCTGTTTTTGCCGTTAGATCATCTAGAGTTTCAAGGATATTTGGGAAAATATTTTTCCTAGCACTTGTTTTGGGAAAAATAGACAGATCAAATGCAAAAATAAAACTGCAAGCAAAAGAATCTCCTGAGGGCTTCTGCAGATCATCATGATCATGTCCACCACCCAGTTCCCAATGTACAGGCTGAATGCTTGTGCTCTGCCTTCAAAATTTAGTAGAGAAAGCAAAATACGTCATTATTTTTTGATATACATTGAGTTTTACTAATTGCCGGATTTATTGCTTCCTTCCTTGGTGAAACTTTGAAGAACACTTTTGGGTTGTTAATTTTTATTTTTCTGAGTGATTCCCAAACACATCTTTGCTGTAGGGGGAAATAAGCCTAGCAAGGAATGAGTATGTTTGCTGAAACTCCTTATGATTTTGATAACATACATTTGCTGTTTCTGATGGAAGTGTTTGAACTTATGTAAATATCTCCTCTATCTGAAAGGTTTCTGCTGCTTTCTTGGATAAGCATCAGAGTTTGGGGCCTGTGACCTTTATTTACAAATTCCGGTTGCATAGACGACAGTACCTAAGTAATTTTATAAAGGAGCTGTGGTTTTAATGTCTAATAATTAGAAAACTCTCCTCTTCCTTCTAGTAGAGCAATTAACCCCTTGATTAAATTTTGTCCATTATAATTATTTATTTCTGAAAATGTCACCACACAATGGGGAAAGTAGCTTAAAGGCAGCAATTTGGAAAATATAAATTAGCAATGTAATACATGAGATGGATGTATGTATTACAGCAGTATGGCAGAATCGTCAGTAGGGGATAAGAGAGGGAATTAATAAGATGGTTAAGGAAAAGAGATCAAATTCTGAAAGATCTGAACAGTAAGACCAAAAGTTTATGTAAACAAATGGAATGAGAAATAGTGTAGTGACTCAAAAATGGATAACATAATAAACAAGACAATGGATAAGCATATAGACCGTGATTATAAAGACTGTTATTTTTTATGTAGTTCATTGTGAAAGTTATGAGAATTCCAAGGTCAAGTGAGTAAGTGATCACAGCGATCAAAATGAAAGATTTGATATAGTGGTTTCAATGATATCATTTAGCTATAGAAGAGGACTTCTGATCTGGAACCTGTGTGGAAAGAAGCTGAGGAATGTGCACACATATAACATTTTCATTACTAATCTAACAACCTAAGTATACAAAAAATTCAATCAGAAATTTTTTGATTAAAGAAAATAGACAAAGTCTTCTCCGGAAGAAAAAAATCACCGGCAAAGCCAATTATACCTGCTGAGGACTGTGATATTCTTGGTTATATGAGCTGCTTGAGTGTTCCAATTCATACCACTCACACGTGCTAGTAAATAGTTTCTGTATAATGCCTTCATCTAGCGTACCTGTTCATGAGGGGTTAACCTAAAGAATGAGATTCATCTCACCTCAATTTAAGTATCTAAAACCTAAGATCCAGGCTATTCATTTAAACTTTCTTCACAGACAGTAGAGAGAAAGAGACATCTCCAGAGACGCATTCATCATGCTTCCAATAGATACCTTTTTAAAAATGAACTAAATCACTCTCTGGAGGTCTAAGTTCTCTCTTTCCATTAATTATAAAGAAAGCATAGACAACTAACTTGGACTACATGCCAAACTTTTAAAAGACTGAAGTTAAATGAATATCATTTACAGTAACTTGTCCCATAGTGAGATGAATTTCTCTAAGAATAGTTCCAATTTACATTATACTACTCGAGCTTTTACTGTTGTATTCATATTCATGGCTATGGAGGCACACTGTTTTAAAAAAAATCATGTGGAAACTTTATTCCTTTTTGCTTTTTCCATGAGAACATTCTTTATTACTTCTTTAATTAGACACCATTGCTAGCAGGGAAATATTTTGACAGTTGAATAGTCTTTGTTCTAAAGACAAAAACAGCAAAAGAGAGGTAGACTGTGCAGAAGAAGGGAATAGATACATTAGTTAGTTCTTCAGGAGAGTTTTCCTTTATCCAAAATTCCTGAGACCATTGATTTCAGAGGTATTGGTAAATCCTTATGACTACTATATATTGTGTGTATGCAATGAACAACACAACTAACTAAAAAAAGGTTATAAAACAATTTTAAATCTCACAAATAAATACAAGTACATACATAAATATTCATGCACACACTTCTCCCTACTCTCCACTTTATGCTTTTCATTCCAAATTTTAAATCCAGTACGACTGGATAGGCACTTACAGCACAGCTAGCAAACGGGGGGGATAATCAATGAGTTTCTAGATAGCAGACTAATAAAAAGAAAATAGAGTACTAAAATCTATTTTCTATGAAAAAAGGGCCCAGATATCTTAACAGAACCTAACTCCATATCTTAATGCTTAAAAATAAGGAGGACCTGTTTGGAGGCATAACCATCAGTGGCAGCCTTGGCTGCAGTAACCAAAAGATCACATAGTTCAAGATCCTAAGGAGCGTGAGGGAAGATAAGTAGAGAAATAAATACCTTGGACATCAGAAGAGCAGATTTCATCTCCTAGAAAAAGATGTGCTCAGGGAACCAGTAGCAGGGATCCCACGAAGCTCTGTCTTGTAGGGCAGAGGAGCTCAGAAGTGCTAGAATTTTCAGAAACAGCCTTCTCAAAGCAAAAATGTGGTCCATCCCTCAAATCGAAAAAGGTGCAGGCATAGTAATAAACCAGTCTAGTTAAGCAGTAAGTTACTGAGAGAGCTCAAATACAAAAAGGAAACATGAAAGATGGAAAAGGGGACAGATTCCCGAAGAGAAAGCGTTGCTCAAGTGTACAAAGATGCTGTTAGGAAGGCAAAAGCTCATCTGGAGCTCAAACCAGCAAGAGATGTCAAGAATAGCAAGAGAGGCTTCTATAGGTCTGTTAGTAGCAAGTGGAAGTACAAGGAAGATGTAAGATCCCTGCTGAACAGGACTAGAAAGTTATTCACAAATGACACAGAAAAGACTAAGGTACTCAATGCTGTCTTCACCTTAGTCTTTATGCATAAGGCTAGTACCCAAACCTCTGTGCCAAGAAGCAATGATGAAGCAAATGGTGATGAACCACTGATAGCAGAAGAGGGTTGAGCTAGAGACCATCTGTACAAATTGGGCATATACAAGTCTATGGGACCTGACAGGATGCATCGGAAGATAGGTGGCAGACATCATTGTAAAGCCACTTTCTCCCATCTTTGAAAGATCATAGAGATCAGCAAAAGTCTTAGGTGACTGGAAATGTGTAAATATTACCTCCATCTACCAAAAGAGCAAAAAGAAAGGTCTAGGAAACAACAGACCAGGTGGTAGGGACTTCAGTCTCTGGGAAAACTGTGGAATAAGTCCTCCTGGAATCTATTTCCAGGTACACAAAGGACAAGACAGAGACTGGTAAAGTTAACACAGATTTACTTAGGGTAAGTTGTGTCTACCTAACTGCCCTATACGAGGAAACAACTTGCTCAGTAGATGAAAGGAGAACTGTGGACTTACCTACATTAATTTGAGCAAGATTTTTGACAGGGCACCCCACAACTTTCTTGTTGACAAGCTGGTAAGATACGACCTGGACAAACGAACTTCAAGATGGATGGAAAACCGGCTAAACTGCTGAACTCAAAAAGTGGTTATTAGTAGCTTGAAGTCAAACTGGAAGACTGTCAAGAGTGGAGTTCTTTATAACCAATCTGGGTGACAGGATTAAATACACCATTACCAAATTTGCAGATGATACTAAACTGAAAGGAGAGGTGGATACACTGGAAGAAAGAGTCAAAATAAACAGAGTTCTCAACAGGCTGGAAGACTGGGCCGAGAGGAATTGCATGAGATTTAACAAAGATAAATGTAAAATCCTGCAGCTGGGATAGAATAATCCCAACCAGCAGTGCGGGCTGAGGTTTGACTGGTTGAGGAGCAGCTCTGCTGAAAAAGACTTTGGGATCCTGGTCGACTGCAAGCTCAGCATAAGCCAGCATTGTGCTAATGAAGGTAATTTCCCTAATGAAGGTAAACTGTGTCAGGGAGAGCATTGCCAGCAGACTGTGGAAGGTGATTATCCCACTCTGCTCAACACTTTTTAGGCCACACCTAGAATATTATGGTCAGCTTTGGTCTCCGCAGTACAAGACAGAAAATAAAAAATCAGAGCAGGATCAGAGGAGGGCCATCATGATGATTAGAGTGCTGGAAACAGGGATTCAAGAAACAGGGATTCTTTCATTCTTCAGAGGGGATAGAAAGAGGTTCTCTGTTCACAAAGAAGTTTAGCGAGCAGATGAGAGGCAACAGGCACAAGTTGCTTCAGGAGGAATTCGGCTTGGATATAAGAAAAAAAAAAATTCTCAGAACAATTAAACTTTGGAATAGGCTGCCCAGAGCAGTGGTGGAATCAGCTGGAATCAAGCTTCCAGCCTGAATACTGGAAGTATTCAAGATCGCTTGACAGGCCCCTGGATAGCCTATTCTAAGGCCCTGCTTTCCACAGAAGGTTGGA